TTAATTTTCTATCTATGTGACTTTACCAAAAGAACCAAAGAGTATATTATAGATCACGACGTTTCGATCGCCACACAAGCAATCGTCCTCAGGTGGGATAGAGAAACAGGCTGCTGAAACAAGTCCTACTATATAGAGCCGATGGCTTGTGTGGTTGATCGAAACGTTGTGATCTATTATTCTTTCTACCTACGTGACTTTACTGAAGAACCAACGAGTATGGATTCCTGCAGTCGCGAAAGCTTCTCGTAAATATAATTAAAGATATTAAGCTTAACCCTAATGATATTCTCGTAAGTTTTGATGTGATCTCTCTGTTCACGAGGGTTCTGGTCAACGAGTCAATTAAATTACTCGACACTCTGGTAACGAACAAAGGTTTAGCCAAAGATATTACAAGAGTAGCTGAACACTGTCGAAATAACACTTCGTGGCAAGGTGACTTCTATAAACAAAAGGAAGGAGCAGCAATGGGCTCTCCATTGTCTCCTGTGATAGCGAATTTGTACATGGAAGATTTTGAAACAAAAACAATAGCTTCAAGCACACTAAAACTATCTGCTTGGTTTAGAAATGTGGATGACACATTGGTTGTCTGGCCACACGGCAAAGATACACTGAACGTATTTCTAATCATCTCAATTCGCAAAACCCATCTATCCAGTTCACCATGGAAGTGGAAGCTGCCAGAACTCTACCAATTCTAGATGTTCTGCTTGGACGAGGTCGAAATGGTAAAATAACACACAGTGTTTACCGAAAGAAAACGCATAGTGATGCCTATCTGAATGCAGAGGTCAAACTATCACCCCGGACAGAAATCTGCTCTTATCAAGACACTCATTCATCGAGCTAAGAAAGTGTCAGATGGTGACAATCTGATAAATGAAATTCAACATTTGAAAGAAGCGCTGCAAATGGAAAGTTACAATGATGCACAAATCAATAGGGTATTGAATACCAAAACCAAATCAAATAACAAGAGCATTGAAACTGCCCAAGTAATTTAAACTATCAAAATACCGTACATTAAAAGGAGTAAGTGATAAACTAGCCAGATGTTTGGAAAAACAAAACATCCGAGTCATATTTGGCACGGTACATAAAATACAGAAATTAATATCTGATACAAAAGATGTATTACCGAAGCTATCAACAGAAGGTGTGTAGAGGACTAACTGCACGTGTGGTAAATGTTATGTTGGCAAACAGGACGAATGATCAGCACGAGACTAAAAGAACATCAGAGAAATATTAAATTCTCCCAAATACAACTGTCAGCAGTAGCAGAACACGCGCGCCAACAAGGACACTCAATTGATTTTGATAATGCTTAAGTTTTGTGCAAAACTAGCTACGACTGGCCAAGACTAATTAGATAATCTATCGAAATTGAAAGAAATCAAAATAACTTTAACCGTTTAAATAGCTAGCGCCTTAGTGCTGCGTGGAAGAGAATAATCAAATAATACATTATTTAAATACATGCCTACAAAGGGCAGCATACTTTAATAGGGATTACCGTTGGTAGGGCTATTTTAACAAACACAATAGACAGGAAGGATAAGTTCAAAGGGCTCGCATAATGTACATGCATCATGTACGTTGACTCAGTAATCCCCCCCACCCCCCACGCGAGTGCAAGAGCGCAGAAGCGTGGTCACCACATCTACGCCTCTATATAAGGAACGAAACAGACAGACGTCTCCATATATCTGGCTGTCGCCTGATGAAGCTAGTTATAATTACTGGCGAAACGTCGTGCTCAGTTTGCAAATGTTGTGGCTTGGCTCTCCGGCACACCGGTGTGCTGTAATAGTGAGGAATTGGCACGTTCTGTTTACGTGACAACTCTGACTAGCTGGCTGTGTCGGGTAGTGGGTTTTAACGACACATTTATATATTTACGCGATCTCACCCAAAAAAACCTCTATTATACTTTATTTTTATTTGTTCATGAGTGAATTGCTGACATTTTCTTTACTTTGAACTCCTATCGTTTGTTGTAACTTAATGCCCCACCTCTACAGGACGTCTGTGAAAAAGAGCTTCATACCTCATCGGGTTCTTCCAGTCTAATTAAAGATTAGGATTTTTATAATATCGTGGGTGCATTGCCTGCAAGATGTTACGCTCCGTGTGTTAAAGATCCTGTCATGTAATTCAAAAAGAGTAGGCCATTGTGTGCTCGCATCACGGTCCAAATTTGACAAATTACCTACAAATGACTCAATTGGGATCACATAGAGCAGGGGTCGGGAACCTATGGCTCGCGAGCCAGATGTGGCTCTTTTGATGATTGCATATGGCTCGCAGATAAAACAAAATATTCTCACTTGTTTTAATCCATCCATCGATTTTTCACTGCGCATGTCCTGTTCAGGGCTGCAGGAGCAATTGTCCATTATTTTAATTGGATGATACTGGCCTACGTTTGCCGTTGCTGGGTAAAACAGGTAAACGCCCCCTTTTGAATCAGTCTGAGACTGCGTCTGCTCGGTCATTAGCTCAAAGCTAACCCTTCGACGAAGAAGATGGCGAAAAGAAAAAAAGACGACGAGTATCGTACATTTCAGGACGAATGGACCGAAGAATTCGCCTTTGTGGAGAGAGCGGGTTCTGCGGTGTGTCTAATTTGCAATGACAAAATTACATCGTTGAAACGGTCGAATGTAAAGCGGCACTTCGACACGCGCCACGCTACCTTTGCATCAAAATACCCTGCGGGAGACAGCAGAAAGAAAGCGTGCCAAGAGCTTCTGAGCAGGGTGCAAGCTAGCCAGCAGCAACTCCGCGTATGGACCCGGCAAGGTGACTATAATTCGGCTAGCTTTGCTGGTTCTTTAGCAATAGTGAGGAACGGAAAACCATTCACAGATGGCGAGTATGCTAAAACGTTCATGCTGGATGTAGCCAATGAACTTTTTGATGATCTTCCGAACAAAGACAAGATAATCAAACGGATACAAGACATGCCTCTGTCGGCAAGAACTGTTCATGATCGTACCATCGTGATGGCAAACAAAGTGGAGGAAACGCAAGTGAAGGACATAAATGCAGCGCCGTTCTTTTCTCTGGCTTTGGATGAGTCAACAGACGTGAGCCATTTGTCGCAGTTCAGCGTGATTGCAAGATATGCTGTTGGTGACACACTGCGCGAAGAAAGTCTTGCTGTTCTGCCATTAAAAGGGTCCACAAGAGGTGAGGATTTATTCAAGTCTTTCATGGAGTTTGCTCAAGAAAAAAGTCTACCTATGGATAAACTTCTCTCAGTGTGTACTGATGGTGCTCCGTGTATGGTGGGGAAAAACAAAGCATTTGTGGCGCTTCTCCGTGAACATGAAAATAGACCCATCCTAAGTTTCCATTGCATTATACACCAGGAGGCACTTTGTGCTCAGATGTGTGACAGGCAGTTTGGCGAAGTGATGTCGCTGGTCATTCGTGTGATCAACTTTATTGTTGCCCGAGCCTTAAATGATCGCCAGTTTAAAACACTGCTGGATGAAGTTGTAAATAACTATCCTGGTCTGCTTTTGCACAGCAATGTGCGTTGGTTGTCAAGAGGGAAGGTGCTTAGCCGTTTTGCGGCTTGCCTGAACGAAATCCGGACTTTCCTTGAAATGAAAGGCGTCGGGCATCCTGAGCTAGCCGACACCGAGTGGCTCCTCAAGTTTTACTATCTCGTAGATCTGACTGAACATCTGAACCAGCTCAACGTGAAAATGCAAGGCATTGGAAATACAGTGTTATCCCTTCAACAAGCTGTATTTGCTTTTGAAAACAAGCTGGAGCTTTTCATCACGGATCTTGAAACAGGTCGTTTACTACATTTTGAAAAACTGAGCCAATTTAAAGATGCATGCACAGCAAGTGAGCCCATTCAAAACCTTGATCTCCACCAGCTAGCTGGCTGCACATCCAGTCTCCTACAGTCCTTCAAAGCACACTTTGGAGAATTTCGTAAGCACACTCGTCTTTTTAAGTTCATCACCCATCCAAACGAGTGTTCACTGAACACAGCCGACCTGAATTACATCCCTGGTGTCTCCGTCAGAGATTTTGAAGCAGAAGTGGCTGACCTGAAGGCCTCAGACATGTGGGTGAATAAGTTCAAGTCACTGAATGAAGATTTGGAAAGAATCACATGACAGAAAGCGGAGTTGGCGAGCAAGCACATGTGGACAGAAATGAAAAAACTCCAACCCGAAGACCAGCTGATTCTCAAAACTTGGAACGCGCTTCCTGTCACATACCACACACTGCAGCGTGTGAGTATTGCTGTATTGACCATGTTTGGATCTACGTATGCATGTGAGCAGTCATTCTCACATCTTAAAAACATCAAGTCCAACCTACGATCACGTTTAACGGATGAAAGCCTCAACGCTTGCATGAAGCTTAACCTCACCAAGTACCAACCCGACTACAAAGACATCAGCAAATCCATGCAGCACCAGAAGTCGCATTAATGGTGAGTGTTATAACAACATTATTTAAAAGAATAAATTCAGAGGCTTATTATACTGACATTTAGTTGAATTCACTTTTAAAATATATTATATGGCTCTCACTGAAATAAATTTCCAAATTTTTTGCTTTCATGGCTCTCTTAGTCAAAAAGGTTCCCGACCCCTGACATAGAGCAACATCGTCCCCTATTCTCAATCTACTGCAGACTTTGTGAAAAATAAGTTCCTTCGTGAAAGTCCTGTGTGAAATGAATGACTGCGCGAATACCGGCACAGGACAGAGAGGGCAGTTAAGACTCATGGTGGTGTTGGGGTTGGAGCCGATGCTAGCATGTGGATCAAGGCTGAGGTTTAATTTAGAAGTCAGGGATTCTACCTCGTGTTAACACTCGGGTTACATTACAGACTGGGCTTAAGCAAAACGCTGGCGCTAGTGTTATGGGGATTAAGGTTAGCGATATTGTCAGCGTTAAGGAATGGTCGTGTTTGTTGTTGGGGTGAGGGCACGCCAGGGTTGTTCTCTCTCACCGCGGCCGCGATGGCGCCCATGCGCCGGTGCGTCTTGGTCTGCCCGTGAGTGGCCGGCTGCCCCGAGTAGCCCCACCGCTTCATCACGCCCTGGAAGCCCTTGCCAATGCTGCCACACACAGATCGCACATCAGCCTCAAAGACTGCAAGGGACACTGCTTTCAGGCCAGCAAAGCATGGTGGGGGGGTGCGGGGAGGGGGGGTTGCGGGTGTGGCCGGAGGCACACTCGTTGGGCCACCCTCGTCACAGCGCCACAATGCACACATCTGAACCCGAATCAGCCGAGGCTAGCCTCAAATACCGATTTACACCAGAGCTATATATCGTGGCCATTTGAATTCAGGAATTGAACTCAAGTTGCCAGGTAAGCCTCGATTTACAAATGGGATGCCTTCTTCCTGAAAAAAACACACGTAAAACTAAATTTCGTGAATATAAATGGATTTTGCCCATTCATTTAATACAAAAAATCAGGGATGTTTTAGATAGTCATTCCATCTCTACTCCTAATCTAAAAATATACACCTATATCTCTTTTCACAATACAAAATAATAATAAAGAACATAAATATTAAAACGATTAAATAATAATTAATTTAAAACAAGAACATTTACCTTTTCAGGGACCTCAACAAAATATCTGCTGCATGTTGGAATGACTGTAAAGGTGATGTGGAGGTGTTGCTACTATTGCACTACAGGGACACCGTAACATTGTCGGGGATGGATGACGACGCAGCCTCCCGTATGGTTCTTGTGTAATCTCACGGCGTGTGCCAGAGTTAAATTTCGTGAAGGCAGAAAAAATTTCGTTTATCGAAAAGTATCCATAATTTGTCAATTTCGTTATGCAAAATTTCGTAAACCGAATGTCCATAAATCTAGGGATACCTTTACAATGCTGTAGTTGAAGATTCCCCTTGTAGCCTTTAATGGATTGTTGGGGCAAGTGCTGTTCACGCGCACCTATTAAGGCCAACATGGCACACGAGGGGGGAGGTGGCCAGCACCTCGCCCAGCCGTATTTTTCTCTCTCATGTGCTGATGTTTACACACTACACCAGATATTAATTGAAGGCCGAGTGAACCTAGGGGAGGCCCAGGACCAGTTCAGTTATTCGTCACCAATACTCTTTGGTTCTTTCGGTAAAATCACGTAGGTATAAAATAAAATAAATAAAATCACGACGTTTCGACAACACAAGCAATCATCATCAGGTGGGAAAACCACAGCAAGAAGAAGTTTTTTGCTGAAGTGGGAGAGAGAGTTGCTGTGGTAAGAGGTTATATAGGGAAGGAAGGGAGAGGAGCAAGGGGGGGGATAGGGAGGGGTGTGGGGGGGAGGTACTGCGTGGTGTAGTAGTACCCGGCAGATATGATATACGACAACCACTGCAAAGCAGTTAGGGTTTTACCTGGTTAATAACATCCTTCCAATGATTGCTCAATTTGTATCCATCTTCTCAGTTGAAGTTATGTCTATGTTTATATATCTGGATGGCTTCATCAACAAACCTTTGATAGTAGCCCGAAAGTTTGCAGAGTACCTTGGTCTCGGAAAAAAAAAATATCATGAGAGCCCACAGCGTTATAGCAATGGTCAGCTATGGCTGAAGTATTGGTTCTGCCGTGTTTCAGATCTGCCTTGGGCCGGGTACTACTACACCACTCAGCACTCTCCCTCCCCGTACCACACACCCCCATCTTTCCTCTCCTCCCTTACTCCTAACCAGGTAAAACCCTAACTGCTTTGTAGTGGTTGTCGTCTATCATATCCACCAGGTACTGCTACTCCACGCAGCACCTCCCCTCCCCCTACCCCACACTCACACCCCTCCCTATCCCCCCTTGCTCCTCTTCCTTGCCTCTATAACCTCTTACCACGGCAACTCTCTCTCCCACTTCAGCAAAAAACGTATTCTTGCTGTGGTTTCCCCACCTGATTATGATTGCTTGTATTGCAATCGAAACGTCGTGATTTAATTGATTTTATTTTATACCAATAGTGAGGGAAAAAAGTATTTGATCCCCTGCTGATTTTGTACATTTGCCCACTGACAAAGAAATGATAAGTCTATAATTTTAATGGTAGGTTTATTTGAACAGTGAGAGACAGAATAACAACAAAACAATCCAGAAAAACGCATGTCAAAAATGTTATAAATTGATTTGCATTTTAATGAGGGAAATAAGTATTTGACCCCTCTGCAAAACATGACTCAGTACTTGGTGGCAAAACCCTTGTTGGCAATCACAGAGGTCAGACGTTTCTTGTAGTTGGCCACCAGGTTTGCACACATCTCAGGAGGGATTTTGTCCCACTCCTCTTTGCAGATCTTCTCCAAGTCATTAAGGTTTCGAGGCTGACGTTTGGCAACTCGAACCTTCAGCTCCCTCCACAGATTTTCTATGGGATTAAGGTCTGGAGACTGGCTACGCCACTCCAGGACCTTAATGTGCTTCTTCTTGAGCCACTCCTTTGTTGCCTTGGCCGTGTGTTTTGGGTCATTGTCATGCTGGAATACCCATCCACGACCCATTTTCAATGCCCTGGCTGAGGGAAGGAGGTTCTCACCCAAGATTTGATGATACATGGCCCCGTCCATCGTCCCTTTGATGCGGTGAAGTTGTCCTGTCCCCTTAGCAGAAAAACACCCCCAAAGCATAATGTTTCCACCTCCATGTTTGACGGTGGGGATGGTGTTCTTGGGGTCATAGGCAGCATTCCTCCTCCTCCAAACACGGCGAGTTGAGTTGATGCCAAAGAGCTCCATTTTGGTCTCATCTGACCACAACACTTTCACCCAGTTTTCCTTTGAATCATTCAGATGGTCATTGGCAAACTTCAGACGGGCATGTTTGTGTGCTTTCTTGAGCAGGGAACCTCGCGGGCGCTGCAGGATTTCAGTCTTTCACGGCATAGTGTGTTACCAATTGTTTTCTTGGTGACTATGGTCCCAGCTGCCTTGAGATCATTGACAAGATCCTCCCGTGTAGTTCTGGGCTGATTCCTTACCATTCTCATGATCATTGCAACTCCACCAGGTGAGATCTCGCATGGAGCCCCAGGCCGAGGGAGATTAACAGTTATTTTGTGTTTCTTCCATTTGCGAATAATCGCACCAACTGTTGTCACCTTCTCACCAAGCTGCTTGACAATGGTCTTGTAGCCCATTCCAGCCTTGTGTAGGTCTATAATCTTGTCCCTGACATTTTTGGAGAGCTCTTTGGTCTTGGCCAAGGTGGAGAGTTTGGAATCTGATTGATTGCTTCTGTGGACAGGTGTCTTTTATACAGGTAACGAGCTGAGATTAGGAGCACACTCTTAAAGGGAGTGCTCCTAATCTCAGCTTGTTACCTGTATAAAAGACACATGGGAGCCAGAAATCTTTCTGATTCAGAGGGGGTCAAATACTTATTTCCCTCATTAAAATGCAAATCAATTTATAACATTTCTGACATGCGTTTTTCTGGATTTTTGTTTGTTGTTATTCTGTCTCTCACTGTTCAAATAAACCTGCCATTGAAATTATAGACTGATCATTTCTTTGTCAGTGGGCAAACGTACAACATCAGCAGGGGATCAAATACTTTTTTCCCTCACTGTACGTGACTTTACCGAAAGAACCAAAGAGTATGAATCCCTGCAGTCACGAAAACTTCAAACATAGATTCATCACCAATGTTGGCTATGAGTGGGAATCAAACTCCAGTCACTGGGTTCGTGGTGCAGTACAGGAACCACTGTCGCACCACTCCCCACAAACACTCAGCCTCACACGTGTAGGGGTATAGGGCTGGCTGCTGGCGGAAAAGGGTAACTGCGGTGTACAGCAGAACTCGCATTAGCAGGCCACGATATATACGAGAGGGGGACATCTATGGGAAAGGTCATAGAAGGGGCCCATCAGGAAGCCCCCGGAACCCGCTAGTAGGTTCCAGAAGGGGGGCGTGGCCAGGGCGGAGCAAGGCCACGTCTGGGAGTATAAGAGGGGGCCCTGAGCGGGAGCTCGGGGCTGTTGCTAGAAGTGGAATCCCCGTTGTGCTGTTCAAGATCATCATCGTCACCATCTCATCGTCACTATCTCCTCGTCGTCGTCTCCGTCTTCACCAAACCGGGGTGCTGTTAGTCAGACAGCCTACAAAGTAGTTCCGCTGACAATAGACGGTCTTAATTATAATAGTGTGCACCCACATAGGGTGTGTATTTATCCCGATGGTGCTTGTTTAATAAAGAAGTGCCTCCAAGTATTACTGTCTCCGATCTGCGTCACTACACATGTATACCAGCAACCCAGTTTTGCAATGCACAATGGTATGTCTCGGACTCTCTCTCGAGAAGAAGCCCTTCCACCAGCAGTGGCATGAACAAGCAATTCCAGGGCTTTACCTTTTACTGGTCATCTTCTGCCAGTCAATCTCATGAGCATCATAACCCAAAACATCAAAAGCTCATGTAGACACGTACATACGTATATTTACACTGCGTGCCCCGGGCTCTACAACGCAACTTTTATTATTTGATGGTGAGAAAAAGAAGACTTAAAATTCCCTGCAGTCATACAGCAGCTGTGGACTCTCTGGGTTTGCCTTCCTCCTTCCTCTAAGTGGCAGCGACAGCATGGAGGGGGATCAGAGGATGAGAATAAACCCATGGTTGAGAACTCGGGGTGGGGGAGGGGCGGAGTGGCGCTCACGTTTTGGCTGTCACGTCCACGTACTGCCCAGGCCGGAAGTGGGCGGCGTAGAGCGGGGTTCCTGCAACAAGATGGGCATCGCAGAGCAGTGAGATTCAAGCCAGCAGCAGCAATAAACTGATGGCGCTGGTGTCAATTATGGGTGCAGATGACAGTATTGTTGAAGGTGCAGGTAATTAAGGTGGCAGTGCACGGTGATGGTGGCAGCCTTGGTGATGACCTGATAACGACTGGTTCCGCTGCCTCCCCTCCCCACTCCAGTGATTCACTGAATCGTCACAATTCAATGCAAGAACCAGTTCTTTCAGGTCTCATTAGTACTCTCATTGACAGGCATACCATGTTTGCGCCCAGGATGCGTTCCTGAAAACCAAAACGTAAATTGAAAGTACAGCAAAAGTTCTGTTATCCGGCATCCATGGGAAATGGAGGGTGCCGGTTAATCAAATGTTATACTTATAGTTCACCAAATTTTTTAATGACAAAAAAACTCTTCAAGAATGAAACTAAGCCTACATTTTAACTATGATATAAGATTTGAAGTTATCGTGACTGCAGGGATCCATGGGTGGAACAAACACCTGATGACGGATGCTTGTGTTGTGCCCGAAACGTCGTGATTTAAATTTATTTTATACCTATGTGACTTTACCGAAAGAACCAAAGAGTATGATATAAGACATTTACAGAGGTACTCACCAATCAGTTGTAGAACATTCTATAAGGTCGCACTCATTACACACAAAGTGGTTGCGACAAATGAATCATAAGACGTTGGTGATCTCATCAAGGAGCATCAACCATCGCGCAAACTTCGGTCATCCTCACAGCGGCTTTTGGATAACCATTGAGCAAAGATGGTCACTGCATCGCGCGCTTTCAGACACGCTTCTGCGGCCGTCTAGAATGCTCTTCCTTCCAATATTAGGAAGCCACTGGAGCTATGCATTTTAAAATCTAAATTCAAAACTAATGTCTTTATAACTGTTTTTGTTTGTTTAGTTTGTTGTCCTTCCCCCACAGCTCCGTTTAGCACGGTTGGCTTACGTACGGTGTGAAAAAAGTTCAATATACATACATTCCAAGTTGATTGTCGAAAAGCAGTGGGATAGTTTATAGTACAGTATACAGTACACTTAAATAGTATACTCTACATTTACTGCCTCTCAGCTGCTTCTGAATGCACCTTGTGTTTGCAATTGAGACTGCTGCTAGCCCCACCATCCGGCAGCATCCTTAAGCTGCTGTAAACAACAGATATCTGAGAAGCACATGACAAGATACTGGATGGCTTTCGGAATTTTTCCGGATAAGTGAAAGAAGATTCGTATCGCCGTCTATGACAGACACCGGTTTATCAACCATTTCGGGTGGTAAAGTGCCGGATAACAGAGCTTTTGCTGTACTTAAATCGAAGCAAAGAGATGGAATGGTGGATCGTAACGTGGTGCAGTACGTAAACTGAAGATGCTCAATAACCCATTGCACATCTATACTGTACAACCATCGGTGTGAGCGTGTATATTATTCATATTTTAAAATATGACCTTGTCTATTATACCAAATATATTATTTAACATATTAAAATAGTTTACACTTGTATAAACATATTCGTCATAAATACAGTATGTGGGGAAAAAATATTGATACTATACGTGTGCCCGTAGAAGAGACGATAGGCAGTCAGGGACGCTAACGCGTGGGCGCCATCTGGTGCCCGAATGTCGACGTGCAGCGTAAACAACGTCGGGGTCTTAACGGTTAAGCTCGTAAATCTCGAGTACGTTCTGGCGAAGTACCACGGTATGTAAAACGGGATTGGGTATCAGTAAGTTGAGTACGTTAAAGCGAAAGTACGTACAGCGGGATGACGTACATCGGGATATTACTGTATGTAATTTCTTGATGGTTCAGGCTAGATGTTTGCTCCATAGCAGTGCTGATGGAGGTAGTGTTGCGATGTCTGTTGTGATGGAACTATTATTGGTGCCGATGTTGGTGTGGCTCGTGGTGTTGACAGTGGCACAAGAGTGGTGATATCCACGATGGTAATAGTAGTACCGATCATAATGCTGGTGGTGGTTAGGATGGTGGGGCTTGTGATGGCACAATGGCACTCGTATTTAAAGTGATATCTATGGTGCCGATGCTGCTGGTACTGAAGGTGGCACTGATGGTGGCGCTCTCCATGGTTCTGGCGATGGTGCTAATGGCAGTGTTAATGGTTTAAGTCTTGCACTGCTGGGTGTGAAGGCGCTATCACCTGGCTTGACAAGGGCGTGCTTGGACACCTCAAATACTGACACCTTCTGCTTGGGAGGAACTCCAGCCAGGCGGCACCGCTCCAAGTGAACCCTCGAGTGCTGTGCAGAACCATCATAATCATTATCATAATCATCAGCAATTAAATACATTGTTCATTATTTAATTAGGCAACAGTGCATGAGCAAGCCAGTAAGCAAGTGTGTGATTTAACTAAGCATGTCAGTGAAGGAGCGAGTCACTGAGCGAGCAAGGTAGCTAGTCTGCAAGTCAGCAAGTGTGAGTGAGCGAATGACTGAATGAGGAAGTTAATAAGAGAATCAGTGAGTGAGCAAGCGAGTGAACAAGCAATTAAGTAAGCAAGCAAGTGACCGAGTCCGTTAACGCAGAAAATTAGTAAGAGCGAGTCATCGGGTGACTGAGCAAGTGAGCATAGGGGTAACTGAGTTATCAAGCTAGTGAGCAAGCAAACAAGCATATGAGTCAACCAGTGAGTGACGTACACTAAATGGAGAGACGTTTTTTCCGCCTACAAGGAGGACATCTGTTACACCGTCGTACTCCTCCTTGGAGAGGTGCTGCAGCACGTGGCAGTCCTGCACCTGTGCGGCATACAGAGGCGTGAGTGGAGTGGGTGACCGCATTAGCACTGGGGCCGACAGGCAGGTGGTGAGCGTGTGGATCCCACGGAAGACAGCTAGCTACACAAACCTGCAAGACGGTGACGGGTTGCTTTTCACCAGATTTGGTCCAGGCTGGCATGATGCCCAGTTTGACAGCAACAAGACCAACTCTCCGTGAGCCTGAACGCACACAGCACCATGTTCAGCCATCACACAGCACACTCTTGGGGCAAGTACTGCGGGTGAGCACAAACATAATCCAAAAATCAAACAGCTGTTGGTTTGTAGATGCATATATGGGTTACGCATACTGGGCTATCCGACATGCATTTGAATTTTTGTTGGAGAGAAAGATTTCAAATGACTTTCCGGAACACAAACTTAGCACTGTCAAATCACTGCAGCGACTTCACTACAGTGTGATGTGTTGGCTCAATAGCTACCCAAATACTACAACAGATGAGCACCATTCTTGAATTGTGCAAGGTTAGAGGAATGTGGGTAAACACAATAGATGGGAGTTTCAAAGCTGAGAGTAAGAGCATATAATAAGATAACTGGTGTACTGTCCCCCACATGGTCACATGGTAGTTGAAGTGAGTATGGATGACAGAAAACTGTTTTGACTTGGTCGGCCATATGGCCGACCAGCTCTGAACCAATTCCTCAACCACATCAATTCCATACACCCAGCTATCAAATTCACCATGGAGGTGGAAAAGGATGGCAAGCTACCATTCTTGGATGTTTTAATCGAAAAGAGACCAGATGGTTCAATGGGCCAGTCTACAGGAAAGCAACCCATACGGATGCCTACCTAAAACATGACTCCCACCACCATCCATCCCAGAAAAATTCCCTCATCAAAACTCTACACCATGGAGCTCAATGTATTTCCGACCATGATCACCTCGCCAGTGAACTGGAACACGTACACCAAGCTCTCAAGACGAATGGATATTCAGACTACACAATCCGTAAAGTTATCACCCCAACCATTGGGAAAGAACCATCTGAAGACCCAATCAAAACCATCCCCTTGCCATACATATCAGAGGTCACCAAAAATATTTCCAAAATCATGAGCAAACACAAGATCCAGGTTCGATTTAACACAGTACATAAAATTCGTGATCTGATCCCATGTGTGAAGGATGTGATCCCTGGCATGCAATACCCTGGCGTCTACAAACTAAGCTGTATTTGCGTAGTCGTTACATTGGGGAAACTAAGCGACATGTCTCGGACCGTGTTCGTGAACATAAGGCAGACCTGAAACATGGTAGGACCAATACCTCGGCCATGGCTGATCATTGTTTTAATGCGGTGGGCTCACACGAAATTGATTTCTCTAAGACGAAGGTACTTTGCAAACCCACTGGTTATTAACAAAGATTCGTTCATGAAGCCATCCATATATACAGACAAAGACACAATTTCAACCGAGATGGGTAGAAACTAAGCAATCACTGGAAGGACATTATCAACCAGTTTAAGTCATAACTGGCTATGTTTCCATTTTAGACCTGGCAGCCCTTTAATTGGTGGAAGCACACCACCAGTGCCGTCGTGGCCCTCTCCGAGTACCATCACCTCTCGCAGCAACCTCCACCATCAACAGTGTGTGTAAAGCGAAGTGCAGTGATTACTTGGCAGCCCTTTAATTGGTGAAAACCCACCACCAGCGCCGTCGTTGCCCTCTACGAGTACCATCACTTACATAAACATTAGCTGCCCCGCCCATGCTGATGACACTTAGGCTACGCCCATTTCAAGCCTTTATAAACAGTTTGCCTTTAGAGGCTAACCCCCTTTTCCTGTTGACGACCACTTGTGTTGCGATCGAAAAGTCGTAGTTTTTTGTTATTTTCTTTGAACCTATCTACACGACTTACCGAAAGACAAAAAGAATAGGAAACTGTCTGTCTGGTAAAATGTTTTCACATTGGCGGAGGTATTAAGGAGTGAAATTCATGAAACAATGCCTGTAGTAGCAAAAGAGTAACATGAAAGCAACGAAATAAACTAAACACGACACTTTTTCTATTATTTCACCAGGTAAGGCCCACATGAGCAGCATGCACCACATCCAGTCAAATTATAGTGTGACTGGAGTAAATAAGTAAAATCCTCAACCAAAAAAGTGTTGGATTCTATCAAGCAGACTCAGGTACACAAATGAAGCTGGCCAACCGGTTGATGGGCAAAAATGTGGAGACACAGAAGAGTTCTGCTTTTATCTGACCTGGAATGCTCCACAACACGTAATGAGATTGTATAGGAAGCAAGTGTTTCACTTCAATGCAACAGCAATATAAATTAACAGCAAAGAGAATGAATGCCCATTCTTGGTAAAAGGCTGAACAAATGAATGTGCAGTGCCAGGTCTCTGGGTCCCTGCGTGCCCCTGACCAGGCGTCCACGTGTGCCGGGACCATGGCTCATCCTTCAGGGGGTTGAGGCGCGCAGCCGTGAGCTCAGTAAACTCCTGCTTGATGTGGCGCCGCAGGAAGGCGTTGTTCTCCTCCGAGAGGTGCTCGTGCCACCACGTGTCGGAGGTGCTCCGTGACACACAGCGCGTGCTCACCACACACCCGGCTCTGCACATGAGCAGCACACATCACGTCCGGTCAATCAACAGCCGCCTGTATCTATTACTACCGTTATCTTTATCACCCTAATTAAATTACAATTTCGATTTAAAGCTTTCGTGACTGCAATGATTCATCTTCTTTGGTTCTTTCGGTAAAGTCACGTAGTATGAGAATAAAATAATAAATTGATAAAATAAAATAACACAATAATATTCTCACGACGTTTCGGCCACAACACAAGCGGCCTTCATCAGGTGAAGGGACGAGACTGTCTGGTAGGACAGCGCTGGAGTGAAAGAGCCACGTTCAGATCACGGCCTTTAAGCTGTGTGAGAGGAACAAAGCGCCTTGACAAAGGAATTAGCATATAATTTAGCATTGAAATGGCTGAATGATTAGCTTGTGACTGGTCACAGAAATAGTTATGTTAAAAGTTAAAGCATACACATCCGCAGAGGCACCCCTTGACAATGGAATTAGCATAGAATTTAGCATTGAAATAGCTAGGTTAAAGCATACACATCCGCAGAGGCACCCCTTGACAATGGAATTAGCATAGAATTTAGCATTGAAATAGCTGAGTAATTAGCTTGTAACTGCTCACAGAAATAGCTACGTTAAAGTCAGACCATACACATTTACCGAGGCACTTAGTACAAATCAAACAGGAGAATTTAGCATTGAAATAACTAGGCGAATTTAGCATTGAAATAACTGAGTGATTAGCTAGTGACTGGTCACAGAAATGACTATGTTGAAGTCAAGGCCTACACATCTGAGCTATTCACAGTACTATATAGTGAACCAATAAAAACTAAAATATAAATTACCTTCATGTTATCAATAAACTCTATATTCTCCAATCAGCTAAGCTACCAACAATAAGTCGTTATATATCACAATGCTATATGGCGAAAAAATGGGTGGATTCTTACCCTCAACTTCAGCACCACGGATAGCTACGGGCCCCGTTCAGACGGACGAGTTCGTCCATGGTCGGAACAGAGGAGGGGGAGAGAGACAGCTGCGAGGCCCTAGTATACTCCATGTTGTAAAACCATACCATTAACCGTGGTGTGAGAGGTATTAAGAGGCAATGCCGGCGAAAGAGCTGCGGTCTGAAGGTCATCGTAAAAATACAATTAATTAAGAACAGAAATTATTTAAAACATCTTTCCAGTGGTTACTAAGCCAGAATCCATCTTCTCGGTTGAAATTGTCTCTGTGCTTGTATATGTGAATGGCCTCATGAACGAATCTCTCATGGTAGCCGGTTGGTTTGCAAAGAACCTCCGTCTTGGAGAAGTCAATGTCATGTGAGCCCACTGAATTATAACAGTGATCTGCCACGGCAGATGAGTTCGTCCTACCGTGTTTCAAGTCTGCTTTATGTTCGCGGATGCGGTCCGAGATATGTCTTTTGGTTTCTCCAATGTAGCTACTACCACAGAGGCACTTTAGTTTGTAAACGCCCGGGTACTGTATGTCTGGAACAGCATCTTTTACAGATGGAACTAAATCACGGATTTTATGTACTGTGTTGAATCGGACCTGGATCTTGTGTTTATTCAGGATTTTGGAGATCTTTTTAGTGACCCCTGCAATGTAGGGTAAGGTGATGGTTTTGAGTGGCTCCACAAGAGGATCCTTCTTCATGACTGGAGTGATGGCTTTGCGGATTGTGTAGTCGGAGTAGCCATTAGCCCTGAGAGCCTGGTGTACGTGCTTGAGTTCACTGGTAATGTGTTCCTGGTCGGAAATGCATTGGGCTCTATGGTATAGAGTCTTGATGAGGGAGTTCTTCTGGGATGGATGGTGGTGGGAATCCGGTTTCAAGTAAGCATCTGTATGGGTAGCTTTCCTGTAGACAGAGTGGCTCATTGAACCATCATGTCTCCTTTTAATTAAGACATCCAAAAAGGGTAGTTTGCCATCTTTTTCGACCTCCATGGTAAATCTGATGGCTGGGTGTATGGAATTGATGTGGTCACGGAATTGGTCTAGAGCAGGCTGGCCATGTGGCCAGATGACAAAGGTGTCATCAACGTACCTCTTCCATAAGGTCGGGCGTAGAGTGGCAGTCTGGATGGCGTCAGTTTCAAATTTTTCCATGAATACGTTGGCTACAACCGGAGATAGGGGGGAGCCCATTGGGGTGCCCTTAGTTTGTTTGTAGAAAGTTCCATTCCAGGTGAAGTATGTGTTGGTTAAGCAATGTCTCACCAGAGGGGGTACATCAGTATGCAGTCCTTGATGAACCAGGTCTTCAATGATAGCAATGGTGTCAGGTACCGGGACTTTGGTGAACAAGGACACCACATCAAAACTGACAAGCAGGTCGTTTGGGGACAGGGAAATGGCTTTGATTGTCGATACCAGGTGAGTAGAATTTAGTACCGCAGAGGTGGTTTTTCCAGTGAAAGGTCGCAGTATATCAGCAAGAAAACGTGCCAGTTTGTAGGTGGGGGAGCTGATAGTAGAGACGATGGGACGAAGGGGTGTATCTTCTTTGTGTATCTTTGGAAGGCCATATAATCTTGGTGGTCTGGCAGCAGAGGGTTTCAACGAGAGCTGTTTGATCTAATCAATTAATGCTGTTGAATCAGAGATGATTTTGTTCGTTTTGGTGACCAGGCTGTTGGTGGGATCTCTTTTTATTTTTGTATAGCTGCCATCGTTGAGTAGTTCTTGAATTTTGTTGTTATATTCTGTTTTGTCCATGATGACAGTGGCATTGCCTTTGTCGGCTGAGAGGACGACAATATCATCCCTCTTTTTTAATTGAGATAATTCAAAACGTTTGTCTTTGCTGATGTTGCTGGGTGGCAACTTAGCGTTTTTGAGGTCAGCAAAGACGAACGTTTTGAATTATTTCAATTAAAAAAGAGGGATGATATTGTCGTCCACTCAGCCGACAAAGGCAATGCCACTGTCATCATGGACAAAACAGAATATAACAACAAAATTCAAGAACTACTCAACGATGGCAGCTATACAAAAATAAAAAGATCCCACCAACAGCCTGGTCACCAAAACGAACAAAATCATCTCTGATTCAACAGCATTAATTGATGAGATCAAACAGCTCTCGTTGAAACCCTCTGCTGCCAGACCACCAAGATTATATGGCCTTCCAAAGATACACAAAGAAGATACACCCCTTCGTCCCATCGTCTCTACTATCAGCTCCCCCACCTACAAACTGGCACGTTTTCTTGCTGATATACTGCGACCTTTCACTGGAAAAACCACCTCTGCGGTACTAAATTCTACTCATCTAGTATCGACAATCAAAGCCATTTCCCTGTCCCCAAACGACCTGCTTGTCAGTTTTAATGTGGTGTCCTTGTTCACCAAAGTCCCGGTACCTGACACCATCGCTATCATTGAAGACCTGGTTCATCAAGGACTGCATACTGATGTACCCCCCCTGGTGAGACATTGCTTAACCAACACATACTTCACCTGGAATGGAACTTTCTACAAACAAACTAAGGGCACCCCAATGGGCTCCCCCCTATCTCCGGTTGTAGCCAACGTATTCATGGAAAAATTTGAAACTGACGCCATCCAGACTGCCACTCTACGCCCGACCTTATGGAAGAGGTACGTTGATGACACCTTTGTCATCTGGCCACATGGCCAGCCTGCTCTAGACCAATTCCGTGACCACATCAATTCCATACACCCAGCCATCAGATTTACCATGGAGGTCGAAAAAGATGGCAAACTACCCTTTTTGGATGTCTTAATTAAAAGGAGACATGATGGTTCAATGAGCCACTCTGTCTACAGGAAAGCTACCCATACAGATGCTTACTTGAAACCGGATTCCCACCACCATCCATCCCAGAAGAACTCCCTCATCAAGACTCTATACCATAGAGCCCAATGCATTTCCGACCAGGAACACATTACCAGTGAACTCAAGCACGTACACCAGGCTCTCAGGGCTAATGGCTACTCTGACTACACAATCCACAAAGCCATCACTCCAGTCATGAAGAAGGATCCTCTTGTGGAGCCACTCAAAACCATCACCTTACCCTACATTGCAGGGGTCACTAAAAAGATCTCCAAAATCCTGAATAAACACAAGATCCAGGTCCGATTCAACACAGTACATAAAATCCGTGATTTAGTTCCATCTGTAAAAGATGCTGTTCCAGACATACAGTACCCGGGCGTTTACAAACTAAAGTGCCTCTGTGGTAGTAGCTACATTGGAGAAACCAAAAGACATATCTCGGACCGCAGCCGCGAACATAAAGCAGACTTGAAACAAAGTAGGACGAACTCATCTGCCGTGGCAGATCACTGTTATAATTCAGTGGGCTCACATGACATTGACTTCTCCAAGACGGAGGTTCTTTGCAAACCAACCGGCTACCATGAGAGATTCGTTCATGAGGCCATTCACATATACAAGCACAGAGACAATTTCAACCGAGAAGATGGATTCTGGCTTAGTAACCACTGGAAAGATGTTTTAAATAATTTCTGTTCTTAATTAATTGTATTTTTACGATGACCTTCAGACCGCAGCTCTTTCGCCAGCATTGCCTCTTAATACCTCTCACACCACGGTTAATGGTATGGTTTTACAACATGGAGTATACTAGGGCCTCGCAGCTGTCTCTCTCCCCCTCCTCTGTTCCGACCATGGACGAACTCGTCCGTCTGAACGGGGCCCGTAGCTATCCGTGGTGCTGAAGTTGAGGGTAAGAATCCACCCATTTTTTCGCCATATAGCATTGTGATATATAACGACTTATTGTTGGTAGCTTAGCTGATTGGAGAATATAGAGTTTATTGATAACATGAAGGTAATTTATATTTTAGTTTTTATTGGTTCACTATATAGTACTGTGAATAGCTCAGATGTGTAGGCCTTGACTTCAACATAGTCATTTCTGTGACCAGTCACTAGCTAATCACTCAGTTATTTCAATGCTAAATTCGCCTAGTTATTTCAATGCTAAATTCTCCTGTTTGATTTGTACTAAGTGCATCGGTGAATGTGTATGGTCTGACTTTAATGTAGCTATTTCTGTGAGCAGTTACAAGCTAATCACTCAGCTATTTCAATGTTAAATGCTATGCTAATTCCATTGTCAAGGGGTGCCTCTGCGGATGTGTATGCTTTAACTTAGCTATTTCAATGCTAAATTCTATGCTAATTCCATTGTCAAGGGGTGCCTCTGCGGATGTGTATGCTTTAACTTTTAACATAACTATTTCTGTGACCAGTCACAAGCTAATCATTCAGCCATTTCAATGCTAAATTATATGCTAATTCCTTTGTCAAGGCACTTTGTTCCTCTCACACAGCTTAAAGGCCGTGATCTGAACGTGGCTCTTTCACTCCAGCGCTGTCCTACCAGACAGTCTCGTCCCTTCACCTGATGAAGGCCGCTTGTGTTGTGGCAGAAACGTCGTGAGAATATTATTGTGTTATTTTATTTTATCAATTTATTATTTTATTCTCATTCTACGTGACTTTACCGAAAGAACCAAAGAAGATAAATTACAATTATGTTGTATGATCAAATAACCCAGAAAGTACCCTATGTCGTGGATTTTGTTAGTGTCATATTTACTCTTTGGTTCTTTCGGTAAAGTCACGTAGGTATAAAATAAAATAAATCACGACGTTTCGATTGCAACACAAGCAATCATCATCAGGTGGGAAAACCACATGTTTTGCTGAAGTGGGAGAGTTGCCGTGGTAAGAGGTTATCTAGGTAAGAAAGGGGGGAGGGGCAAGGGGGGGGAGACGAAGGGGGGTGTGGGGTAGGGGGAGCGCTGCGTGGACGCTCGGAGAGGGAACGTGAGGCTGGGGGGGGGGGGGGAAGTGGGCGGGGCTGGAAGTGGGAGGCCGAGAAAGCTGGGGATGCGGGGGGGGGGGGTAACTCGGAAAAATAGACTAGTACCCGGCTGATATGATAGACAACAACCACTATAAAGCAGTTAGGATTTTACCTGGTCAATGACATCCTTCCAATGATTGCTCAATTTGTATCCATCTTCTCGGTTGAAGTTATGTCTGTTTAAATATCTGGATGACTTCATGAACAAACCTTTGATAGTAGCCCGAAGGTTTGCAAAGTACCTTGGTCTCGGAAAAATATATATAATGCGAGCCCACAGCGTTATAACAATGGTCAGCTACGGCAGAGGTATTGGTTCTGCCATGTTTCAGATCTGCCATGTCGTTTCGTTTCCCCGATGTAACTGCTGCCGCAGGTACAACTCAGTTTGTAAACTCCAAGATATTGCATGTCAGGAATGACATCCTTCATAGATGGGATTAGATCACAGATTTCGTGCACTGTATTGAATCAGACCTGGATCTTGTGTCTGTTAAAGATTTTGGAAATATCTTTGGTAACAACTGCTATGTATGGATCATGATGGTTTTGATTGGCTTCTCAGGGGGTTGTTTCTCCATAGTTGGAGAAAAACATCTTTGCAAATAATGCGGTCCGAGTACCCATTCATCTTGAGGGCCTGGTGTACGTGTTCCAGTTCACTGCTACGTGTTATTGGTCGGAAATGCATAGGGCCCTATGGTGTAGTGTTTTGATAAGGGAATTCTTCTGTGCCGGATGGTGGTGGGAATCAGGTTTCAGATAGGAATCTGTGTGGGTGGATTTCCTCTTCTTTGGTTCTTTCGGTAAAGTCACGTAGAATGAGAATAAAATAATAAATTGATAAAATAAAATAACACAATAATATTCTCACGACGTTTCGGCCACAACACAAGCGGCCTTCATCAGGTGATTATTATTATATTCTCATTCTACGTGACTTTACCGAAAGAACCAAAGAAGGTGGATTTCCTATAGACAGAGTGTCCCAGACTGTTGGGTCAGTGCTGTGAGCGAGTAGCACCTATGAAGGCCGGAACGACACACGAGGGGGTGGGTGGCCAGCACTAGGCATGGCCGCCTTTGCGTCCCTAGTGGCGATGTTTACACACCGCTCCAGCTACTCATTTGAGGCTGAGTCGACCGAGGAGAGGCCCAGGACCGTTTCAAATAATAGTTACTGGTGGTATCCGTGAGCGGGAATCGAACTCTGGTCGCCGGGTTTGTAGCGTGGCGCGCTAACCGCTGCACTACCGCTCCCCATTGCACTATGGCGCCTCCCTGCACTGTGAACAAACAGAACATCAGGTTACCAACACATCTGGTTCAATAAGGGCTCTGACATAAATGAACTGTCATTCACGGGTTGAATGACTGGATGCCAAAGTGGTGTCAAAAAGTTGAACTTGTCTTCTTCTGTCGTATGGAATTTTTAGGGTTTGCAACAGATTACAAATTGATGTCGAGATTTGATATCCATTTAACTGCTTCAGGAGTAGCCGCGTGGATTCGTTTCAGATCGCCGTTGACTGAACCGGTTGGGCAGTCGTTCACGATATGGTCTGAGATGTCGCACCACCTCAGTCACAAACTGGACTCTCGTTAATTTTCCATTTATAAAGTGTCCCAGACATCTTCCATGGAGTGTCCGGATCTGATTCAAGGAGGACCAGATCTCCCTCGGTCGGTCAGGATTGTGGGGTCGCTGGCGAATTTAAGTGAAAACTACTTTTCTACAAAACACATGAATCATGTCCGCCTGTCAGGCCCGCGAGTATACAGTACTACTGTATACCAACACCAAGTCTCGGGTCGGATGCGACCGCGGGAAACAGGTTCCCTCCACCCCTGGTGACGCGGGACCTCACGGTGGTGGCATCTCCATGTAGCAAGCGCCTCCCAGGATTAAAATAGCTTCATCATCGGATTTCTCCAGGATAAATAAATATGCTGATTAAAGGCGACGGCGTGTAGCGTTTGCGCGGCTATAGCATTATTCCCACGCGTACATCGATCATAAAGGACGTTTAGCGGAATCCGGATCAAAGGACCTTCACAACTTTGCCGAGTGAGGCTGAGTTTACATGTCCACGTGGACATCTGGAATGTATCGTTCATATCCGAGTACCACGTTGTAGGAAAATATACAGTGACTGTCGTGTGGATAGACTTCTCCCCAGACACAGGAATGTGGAATTTCCACCACTGGCTTAAGCTCAGGAGTGAGGCGTCGCGAGGTGTCCGGGCGCGAGCGGGTCTCTTACCCGAGCCACGTGGCGGGCGAGAGGAGCGGGCGCCGAGCAGCCGCAGGGCAGCAGGGGCCAGCGAGGGAGAGAGAGGAGAAGAAGGAGCAGGAGAGGGAGGACGAGCGGGAGGAGGAGAGCGAGAGCAGTGGGACACGCGACCCCAGCGTGCACAGCAGCCTGGGCGCCGCCATCCCTCCTGGTTGTTGTGCAACACGAGCCTGATCCGGCCGGAAACCGTGCACGGACTGGGTTCTGGGCGAAGAAAGGTTCCGCCCTGCTCGTTGGCGCCAGAGAGCAAGGTTTTAATCTATCAGCGTGGCACCGAAATGATCAGATGTTTTTGGGCATGACAGCAACAACATGGTCAGGAACTGGATCGATCCCAATGTCGAGGTCTGCTCGCCACGAGCGGGCTTCAGCAGCCAGTGCGTGTATTTTGCTATTCCGTAGTTGAAGCACAGACTCGCGTGCAGTGGTTTACGGTATGGCCCATAGTTTGGGATGCATGGCCACAATTGCACGGCTGTGGCTTGTCTTTAAGTGTTACATTTATGAAGTAGATGTGAACATCGGCCCGTTGATGTTCTGATGCGGTTCATTGACAAATCAATCAATGTCTTCGAGGAATGTCAAAGCGATCAGGTGCGATGTCGGGTCTCGAATGAGGTGTTTATTCTGGGCGGCCGCGTTGTTCCACTGTTCGCCAGCAGCAGCAGCGTTGCTCCGGATCTGGGTGAGATTCTAGGATGGTGACGGCAGCAGCGATCCCAGCTGGGGATGGGATTTGAGTCGGAGGTGCGGTACATTGTTGAGGTCATGGTTGACTATGGGTAGGTCGTCATTGGCAAGCAAACATAGGCATTTAGCTCCAGAACATATCGCTGCCATCCAACAAATTGAATTGAATGAGTCGCCTCCTCGCAAACCTCGAACCTAATTTACACGATTCAACTCGAGATCATTCAATTGGCCCTAACAGGCCTCTCAGACCTCGCAGCCTGTGCCTTGCCCATCGAACAAAGACGGTCACTGCATCGCGTGGCGCTTTCAGATGCGCTGCTGCTTGTGGCCGTCTGGAACGCTCTTCCTTCCGATATGAGGAAGCCGCTGGGAGCTACGCTGCATTTTTAAATCATCGAGATTGACAAACATTTCTTTAGAACTGCTTTTTGTGTTTAGTTGTTTTGCCCTTTCCCCGCACCTCAGATTATCGCAGTTGGCTACGTACGGTGCGAAAGAAGTTCAACATTACGGCACAGCACATACTGTATATCCCCAGGAGTGTGTTTCCGATTTGGACATGTGAAAAAGAGCTTTATAGTTAATCGGATTCCTCCTGCAGTTTAAAAGCACATTATTCTATCGTAGTTTTTGCATCGCTTATAACGTTCTGACCCGACTCTACTGGACGTATGTGACAAAGAGCTTCACAGCTCATCGGATTCCTCCTCGTGCAGAAGAAATAACGATTCCGATTCGCGCGCTATTAACGATCCCCTCCGCAGCCAGCAGCCAATGGAGTGGCGCGTCTCTCCGTGTAAGGCGCCTCCCATTGGGCAATCTGACGAGGAGGAGGGGCAGGCCCGCAAGGCAGCCAATAGGAGGCGCGCTCTCGTACGGCTCCGTTTGAAGATTGTGGCGGTCGCGGGCGAGTGGGAGCCCCGTTTGGTTTTAAAGAATTTGTGTTTTGTTATATCGAAACTTCACCTCGGTTAAGTATATTAGGGAGCGGAAGGGCTTGAACAAAGCGGGACGCCTGCAGCAAGGTAATCTTGCGGTGTTTCTTTTCACCTCAGCTGCCGTGATCGGGTTGCGTGAGTTTGTGTGGGGCAACCTCCCGCCGCACCAGACTAGTTAGGCCTGGCCGCTGAAGTTTATTCGGCTTCACTCTCGATGCAGATATCCGCTCACCTCGATGTTGTTTGTGCATCTTTACATTCATCCATGCAGTAGGTATACGTGTGGCGGTGTTCATACGCGCCATTGTAAACTAACGAGCCCAATAGCGCGTTGTTGTGACTCGTCATGGGAATGTGGAATGGACATCACTGGCTCAGGGCTGCGAGCAGGAGATGAGTGTCTTCTCACACTCGCGTTTACTTGGGAAACAACTTTGACCTTTCACAAAGTCGGGGCTCCGGGTGAGAGGTTGTGTTGGGGAGGGTCACGTTGAGGGGAATTGTTCAAACATTAAAATCAATACTTTTGATTAAAAGCTTTCGTGACTGCAGTAATTCATATTCTTAGTTCTTACCGAAAGAACTAAGAATAAAAATAGATACTCTGGTTCTTTCGGTAAAGTCGCGTAGGTAGAAAAAATACTAAACTATTCTAAAATAAGGTGAAGTATGGTCCGACAATGCGAGGAGAAGCCTGCACGAGCAATGGATTGGTAAAATGTGTTGAATTATACATTATATTGTGATGATACTGATAGCATACACTAATGTTTCTACGACTGATAACATCAGTAGTAGCAACAGTGGTTTGTCTTGTGAATTGTTACTCCCGCGTTAGGCATGTGGAATCTCCACCAATGGCCGAGTGCTCCCGAAGGATTTTTATTTTACAAAAATATTTTGCCAGGATAATTCACTGAGATGGAACATATCGTTTACAAAAGTGCCAAATAACACAGACGAGGCAAACACGAAATATCACATTCAGACATTTTAAAATATACCAATTGTACAATGTACGATCATACAATCTCAAATACATGCACAGTATAGTGTGCAAGGGTCAAGAGCACGAGCAAGACAGTCCCGGCAGCATGGACACAACGTGAACGGTAGTAAATAATTGGTGCACACTACCGGTTAACGTGTAACGAACGTTGTGCAGGTGCGTGCGGATGAGCACGCCACTCCACGGTGTGTCGTAAGAGTGCAGTACTTTAAATAAGTGTTAATAGTGAAGTTCATAGTAATGTAAATATTCCAGGAATTACAGTAGCACATTTTAACACCGTAGCCTTGTATCCATAACATTAACAGTAGCGAAATGTAGATATAACTGCAGTTTATACTTTAACATTCTAAGCATAGTGCTGTGATTGCTATAATATTAATGTTGCTTTTGCCAAGAAGGATATTCAAAGTAAGGTTAAAAACAAAGCTCATAAGCGTACATTGTAAACTCATGTGCAGGAAATTCAAAATCAGCTTCGCATTTTGTCGTAATGATATAATGGTACAAGGTAAGAGAACGCGACTTCATTCAAAGAGCGTCTGAATTGAACAATATCATGCGAAGCACCGCTTTGGTAGCACAAGTGGTAGAAGACTGCAATAACACCAGCGTGAGGAGGACATCAAGGCTCGATGCAGTAAACACTGTCGCAATTCATGTACAATTCATCATAAAGTTGCTGCTTCGGTGAGCTTTCTCAATGAATAACATTAAATAGGATAGTAATGGTAGTTTCCTATCAGAGCAGTGGTTCTCAACATTGTTTGGCTACTGTACTCCTTGTTGAGTTTTGTTTCAACCGAATACTCCCTTGCCTGACTCAACATGGTTCTGATAAATAAATGTATGAATAATGGACGTAAACATTTTAACAAATTGTCCATTTTGTGAGATATCCTAACTCTCCAGTAACTGCAAGCGAATACAAAAATCAATGAACGTCATGTGTTTGCGCTCGCTGGATACTCTTGTAACCCACATTGTTTACGATCAATGAGTTTACAAAGGTCTGTTATGTCGTTCGTTCTAGGTTACCATATGGATTTGCATTTTATCGTAGTTATTTTATGATGGCAGATTTATTCGTGATTATTCACCAGTGACTCTCACGTATGACAATTTCACACATAAATCAATTCATGTACCCCCTGGGACGTTGCCACGTACCCCCAGGGGTCCGCGAACACCCGGTTGAGAACCACTGACTTAGAGGAAATTAATCACGTTTCAACCGACCGCTAATTTAATTTAAAAAATTGTATTTCTCAAAAGCCTGTTATTTTTTGTATTGTCCAATTCGCGATTTTCTTCTCGAAATGTGTACTCCATTGTTAATGTCCTCCGTCAGCAGCGGTGGCACAGTGGTGAGTGCACAGTGCTACGAACCGGCTACCTTGGGTTCACTCTTGGCCCTGACTGACCTAATTATCAAGTGATATCAGAACTGGTCATGGCCTTCCCTCCATCTCTTCGCTGACTAGCATGATGAAGTATGGTTAAACGACCCCCACGAACAATACAGCAGCGGATTGACAAAGGGCTGTAAATTATTATATCCCTCTAGAGTCTAGACATTGGATCTAATGGGTTTAGTTAACATTACGAGAGGGAGGAAGGGATGGTCTCACAGTTAAATATGTTGGGTCGGCTTCTAAATCTGGCCACCACATAAAACCATGCCCACACCCATAACACCATGCCCACACCCATGTCATGCATAGAATGCCCTTTACAATATACATCGTTACACACAATACCAGGCAGTATATTAACAGCATTGTATTAGTTATCAGTTATTCAATATTTCAATGTTTTTTTATTTACAGCTCTGAGCCATTGGTGGAAATTCCACGTTATCATAGTTGATTTCAGTCGATAAAGACATCACTATAATAATCTTAGTTCTTTCGGTAAAGTCACGTTGAAGGGAAACAATAAAATAATAAAATATATATGAAACAATATATAAAACAATAAAAAAAAGTGATGACGACCGTTTGTGTTATGGTCGAAACGTCGTGAGAATTTTTATTGTTTTATATATATTTTATTATTTTATTGTTTCCTTTCAACGTGACTTTACCGAAAGAACTAAGATTATGAATTACTGCAGTCACGAAAGATTTAAATGAAAATTTAAAGACATCACTGTTAACATCCAATTGTGGTCAAAAGTTAAGTTAGAGTGTCTCCGTGCACATTTTACATAGTATGGACTGTAATGTAAGCGGGAACTTGGAATTGCAATTACGAATTGCAGCCTTGAGTGAACTTGAGAGTAGGCTGAAGTTATGTACACAAAGACACCCCTCTATAATGATGCCAAGTAACACCAAACATAGTCTCTCTTATAACACATGGCATGCAGACTGCTTGAGCTGCCTCATAAGGAGATGTTTTAGTGACACTTGTTTTCACCCGAGGCAGTTGTGCTGTGACAGAGAAATACCTGAGTTAGTACTGCGCTTAGAGGTATTCACTGTCAAATGTGTCCAGAATTAGAATACAGTACTGTTTTGGTTTTTATTAATAATGCAATAGTCACGTGATGTTCAAGGTCTCTCCCTGCTCAAACACGCATTGCTGGCCCTGCGCCAGTGTTGGAATTTCCAAAGTGTAAATGTTTTTATTTGCCCAGAAGGATTCAATCACTGCCTAGGATTTCAATTTAGTAACCTAATTGAGTTGACCACTGTGCCAACACCGAACAATCCAGTCAGACAAGGATATGATGAACATGGATGGGTCCTAGAAGAGGTCAGGAGCTTGGAGCGGTTCTAAATACAGCTCAACTTGTTTCGAGATCCATCTCAAGGTCTTGGTCTCATCATCTGTAACCATTCCAATGGTGAATAGTATGACAGTCACAACCCAATTAACGTTTTACCTAGGAAAGCTTCACAGTCAGAATACTTATTCTCAGGAGAGTTCTGCTTTTGGATGTTTGACCAATTATTTCTGGAATGCTTGGAAAAAAACCATCCCGATGAGAAGATAACGCTGATGCTGCTACAAAAAGGTCATCAGTCTACCTTGTTGCCTCCTATTTAGCAACCGTTTTGTCTTGCAGGTGACAGTCACCGATACACGATAATCATACGATCCAGCAACCCCTGTCGCCTGATTGCCCGGTAACAGACATGTTTGCAGCCACTGTGGGTGTTGTGGTTATCCAAACACCCATAACATATTTAGATGAAGTTCACACAATCCCACCAAACCTTGGACAAAATTAAATAAGGTGACATAAATGCTGATTATGCTGATGATATAACCTTTAATTACACAGTAGGGTGTGAACACTAGGATCTGCAATGAGTCGGTAGTTGTGTTGGTTTAATGACTGCATATTAGAACTCCTGTTATCTGTGATGAAAGTGATCGGCAAACTTCCCAGATCCGATGTGTAAACGAAGCAACAACCACCTGGAACAGTTTGCGAGGAGGGCACCCCTGACTTCCAAAGTGTGACTCCTCATGCCCCCGGTTGACAGGCGTACACTGGCACGCCCTGTGTGTGAGTCAAGCGAGGGTGTTTTCACCGTTTCCTCTCAAACCCTTCCAACAGCAGCAGGGGGACTCTTCTCATAGCTGTCGTTCCGCGGCGCCACGAGCGATGGCGTCTGGAGGTAACGCCGGGGGCAGCGTTGGTAATCTCTCGGATGAGACATTCCCCAGCTTCCTGTCGGAGTCAGCCCCAGACAGCCTGGGCCCCCCCGTAGCCATTTCCACAGCCGCACGGAAAGAAGACTCCGACGACAGGTGCGGTGCCCAGCCTCTTTGCTCACTCTTGTCTCCATGGTTCACTTGATCTCATTGGTTTTGTTTGTCTTGAGTTTTCTGTCTGTGCTGTCTCAGATGTCCTTTCTATCTCACCTGTGCCATCCTCACTGTCTCTTTCATTGTGAAAATTATTGAAAGCAGAACATTAATTTAAAATAATTAATTCTTGCACACTCACAATTTTATGCATCCTGAACACAAGCGTGATTTTAATTGATGAATCGCTACATGTGTATTGGAGATGATGGCAGTAATGTGTGGAGGCAGAATTGTTGGTCCACTGCTGGATGAAGTCCGACCTCTGCCATATCATATTCTTAGTTTTTTCGGTAAAGTCACGTTGAAGAGAAACAACAAAATAATAAAATATATATAAAACAATAAAAAAATTCTCACGACGTTTCGACCATAACTCAAACGGTCATCTTCAGGTGTGAAGATGACCGTTTGAGTTATGGTGTGAAGATGACCGTTTGAGTTATGGTCGAAACGTCGTGAGAATTTTTTTATTGTTTTATATATATTTTATTATTTTGTTGTTTCTCTTCAACGTGACTTTACCGAAAAAACTAAGAATATGAATTACTGCAGTCACGAAAGCTTTAAATCAAAATTTAAAACTCTGCCATATCGTTCAATTGGGTTGTTTGACCATACGTAACCATGTTGGTCAGTGCAGGTGGATGAAGAAAGAGGCCCAGGACCGGTTATATCGCTCACCGGTGATGTTAGCCATGGCTAGAAATGAAATTCATGTTGCTGGTTCATAGAGCAGTACACTTGCAGCTGCATTATTGCTCCACCTATAGAGAAGTATTCCAGGAGTCTTATCTCCATTGCATTCCACAGTATCATTATAGTACTGCACCACTTACCTTAACTGTAACGTTGGCATTTGGCTGTTATAAAATCTGATCCACTGTGTGACCATGTATGTCAGTTGACGGGTGGGAGCAACATCTGCGGTTTTCCAATATTCACCACAAGCTCCCTGACATTTTTTGGGAAAATGACAACAGCTTGGGCAGGTAAAGTGAAGTAAAAGAGCCAAGCATGCAACTGAGTGTAACTCTCGCCGAGTGTTTTATGTGTGTTTATCCGAGTGTTTGTCTTTTAGAGTATGTCCTCAGAGAGTGTATGTGTTTATTGGGAGTGTGTGTGATTGGTGGTGCTTTTCTTAGCATGCTAAACATTCAACCTGGTGACAAACGGTAGTGAAGTGCAGGTGATGTTGACCACACCACCCTTTTATGTGACATGCTGAGAGTTTATGCTATTTTTTAAATGTGTAATTTTATTTTCCTGTAAATCCTGTAACGTTATTTGAATCCCCGTTCACACATAACATAGTTCCATTGCTGTGAACAATTTCTGGGCCTCGGCTACATTTACTCGGCATCGCATAAGTTCGTGACGAGCGTGGTTTGCTGTGTTGTGCAGAACGTCGGACGTGTACGAGTCGTACTTGGAGGAGCCGTTGGCTGTAGGCTCGACTTCTGGAGTCTTTTGTGACCCCACCCACCCCCTGGGTGACCTCTCTCAACACAAGTTTGCGTTGAGCTTCAAGGATGACCTGTGAGTTTTCGTGGGGTGGTGCGGAGGCACAGAATAGTGGAACTTACATCGGCATGATTATTTAGTTCTATTTTTTACCAACACTAGTCATTGGGGGACCCCCAGTACAGCTTTCTGTGATTACCAAACATTAGGTGCATGCAGTTTGCAGTGGGCTCGTTTGCATGTGACTAACAGGATCGGTAATCAAGAAAAATCCAGACCATAGTGTTGTCACGAGGGCTGGAGCTGTGGAAACAATTTGGTTCACGCGCACAGCAATTGGCGTAACTCTTCATCCCAATCGTGGCAACTTTGTTATGCTACACAATTAGCGTGTAACTTTTATGCACAATTTTTTTTCAAATGTTGCACAACTTCCCTATTCAAACACCTCAACTTTGTTGCTTCTGTTTAACACTGAGGCTTTCGTGACCAATATCCATAATAGAGTTTTTTTGGGTTAGATTGTGTAAATATCTAAATGTGTCGTTAAAACCTACCACCACCCGACACAGCCAACTAGTAAGGGTTGTCATGTAAACAGAACATGCCAATTTGCCACTAGTACAGCACACCGGTATGTTGGAGAGCCAAGCCACAACATTTACATTATGAGTACGACGTTTCGCCAATAATTACAACTAGCTTCAGTCAGAGAAATATTAAATACTCCCAAATACAACTGTCAGCAGTAGCAGAACACGCGTGCCAACAAGGACACTCAATTGATTTTGATATACTGAAGTTTTGTGCAAAACTAGCTACTAACGGCCAATATTAATTAGAGAGTCTATCGAAATTGAAATAAATAAATATAATTTTAACCGTTCGGATAGCTACTGCGTTAGTGTGGCATGGAAGCGAACCATAAAATAATACATTTTTAAATGCATGCCTATAAAGGGCACAATACTTCAATCGGGATTACTGTTGGTATGGCTCTTTTAATTCACACAATGGACAGGACAGACAAGATCAAAGGGCTCGCATAATGTGCATGCATAATGTATGTTGGCTCATTAATCCCCCACACCCCCCACTTTGTGCAAGAGCACAGAAGTGTGGTCACCAAATCGACGCCTCTATATAAGAAACGAAACAGTAAGACTTCTGAAATCTGTCTGTCTTCTGATGAAGCTAGTTGTAATTACTGGTAACACGTCGTACTCGGATTGTAAATGTGGCTTGGCTCTCCAACACACCGGTGTGCTGTACTAGCGACGAATTGGCATGTTCTGTTTATGTGACAACCCTTACTAGTTGGCTGTGTCAGGTGGTGACGGGTTTTAACGACCCATATATTCACGCGATCTCACCCAAAAAACCTCTTATGTTTGTTGCTTCTGTTTTACAACACAATTGCATATACAGGCAGTCCTCGATTTATGAACATCCACATATGAACCTTATGGCGGGACCCCTGGGTCCCATAAGCCCCCAGCTCTCGCATAAACTGCGTTGCAACGTCATTTTATGTCTGTTGAAGGTGAACGATACGGCAATCTATTCATCTCGACGAGCTCTACACGATATGCTAATCCAAGTTTTGTTTCTTCTGCGCATTCGTCCTGACATGACAACAGAATGATCTGCAGCAGGTCGGTCGCGACGTTTATGTGCGCGGTTGGACGGAGTCGCCAAAAATAATTAATTACGTTTTTACTTCCGTTTATTTGGGGTCCCACCACAAGGTTAATTTACAAACCAGCTTTTATGACATTTTTTTCACTTCAAACATGAACTCACACTTGCAAACTGAACCACCAAACTCTTTTGTTCAGCAGAGCAATTCCCCGCAAGATGAAAGGCGTTAGTTAGCCTTTCGTGGGTAGTGAGTGTTTCGATTTAAAGCTTTCGTGACTGCAATGATTCATCTTCTTTGGTTCTTTCGGTAAAGTCACGTAGAATGAGAATAAAATAATAAATTGATAAAATAAAATAACACAATAATATTCTCACGACGTTTCGGCCACAACACAAGCGGCCTTCATCAGGTGAAGGGACGAGACTGATGAAGGGACGAGACTGTCAGTCTCGTCCCTTCACCTGATGAAGGCCGCTTGTGTTGTGGCCGAAACGTCGTGAGAATATTATTGTGTTATTTTATTTTATCAATTTATTATTTTATTCTCATTCTACGTGACTTTACCGAAAGAACCAAAGAAGATAGTGAGTGTTTGTGCGTGTGTGTGCGCACGTGTGTGAAAGTGAGCGTGCGCGCCCGTGTATCCGTGCACGCCCGTGCCCTAGAGCACCAGGTGGCTAAAAGACAAAGTTGGTACAGTAGGGGATGCAGGTGGTGCCAGTCAACTCAGTCAACCCATGGCACCTGGGTCTCCATGACCTTCTGCCAGCGAGCGTTCGATACTTCACGTGGTCTTAAAGTGCACATAGCCTGGCAAAAGCACCGTGGTGACGTCACCGCGACTTAGTGGTGATGGTGGTTGATACTCCTGTGTTTGCGAGTCGCGCCAGTAAAATGGTTTGTGTGCTGTGCTACCAACCCCATGGCCCGAGTTCGATTCCCGATCACGGCCAACACCAGTGACGATTATCTGATTGGGTCCTGGGCCTCCCCCTAGTTCGACTCGGCCTCAAATGAGTACCTGGTGCGGTATGTAAACATCGCCACTGAGACAAAGGCGTTCGGGCGTGGTGCTGGCCACCCACCTCCTCCTGTGCCGTGCCGGCCTTCATAGGCGCTGCTCGTGAACAGCACTTGGCACAACAGCCTGTGAAGGCTACACGGGATTGTTGTTGTGTGTGTGTGCGCGCATGCGCGCGAGTGCCCCCGTGTGTGTTTGCAATTGTGGGGACTCATTGCGCCCCTTTCGACAAACAAGCCAGCATTGGGACTCAACGCAAGTGAAAATAAAACTGCATTTTTTTTAATGTTACGTTATTTTTAGTTTTTTTTACTACTAGCGGGAAGTACCCGGCGTTGCCCGGGGGAAAAATATATTTTAAAAATTATCTTCAAAACATAACATATAATGCACAAATTCTAAGCTATTGTGAAAGCCCGGCGTGCCATTTGTCTGTCCGTTTGTCCGTCAAAAAAATAAGAGACTTGCAGAAGTTCAAAAAGTTATAGAAAGTTGGAGGTAAATAGTTGATCTAAAAGGTTTCCAAATTTTGTCGACCTCCCCCACCCCCGCCTCCTCAAAAAATATTTTATTCCCGCGTATGCATATGTCCCTAAATACCCTACATGCAATAGAGTAGTATCTAGTGACTATATAGTAGTATCTGGCTCTACAGTAGTATCTATTGACTCTAGTAGTATCTACTGAGTGTAGCAGTAACTACTGACTGTATAGTAGTATCTACTGACTAGTTGTAACTACTGAATCTATAGTCGTATCTATTGACTCTATAGTAGTATCCACCCACTATAGTAGTAACTACTAACTCTATAGCAGTAACTACTGACATGGTAGTATCTGCAGACTATAGCAGTATCTGCTGACACTATAGCAGTATCTACTGACTCTATTGTCGTATCTACCGACTCTGCAGCATTATATACTGACTATAGTGGTATCTACTGACTATACTATTATATACTGACTCTATAGTAGTATCTACTGACTCAACGGTACTATCTACCGACTCTATAGTCGTATCTACCGACTCTATTGTAGTAACTATCGACTATACTCTTTGGTTTTTTCGGTAAAGTCACGTAGGTAAAATAAATTTAAAATAAAAGAAAACAACTAAATTAAATTTACGACGTTTCGGAGGCAACACAAGCTTCCGTCTTCAGGTGGAACAGTCACAGCAAGATAGCTGCATCAAATCTAGAATTAACTATCGACTATTGTAGTATACGCTTACTATAGTAGTAACTACTAACTCTACAGTCTTGATTCTACAAACAAAATGAAGGTACCCCTATGGGTTTTCCCTTATCACCAGTGGTAGCGAATGTTTTCATGTAGAAATTTGAAACAGATCAGAATCAGAATCAGAAAGGGTTTTATTCGCCATGTAAGTTCACACCGACACGGAATTTACTTTGGCAGGATGGTGCATACATTCAACATATAGGAATCTAAAATCTTAAATAAGTTTTAAACAAGTCTTACTATAATAAGGGTTAAAAGTCTAACACTAAGGGGCTGAAGTATATAAAATTAAATAAATATCGAATATAAAATAGCTTTAAGATATAATTTAAAAATACAAATAGGGAAACATAGTTAATATCAGCAACGTGTCGTTATGTAGATCAAATGTTAAAAACAGTGTTAGCCCTTGGCCTTGTTTAACAGGCCAGCAGCAGATGGGAAGAAACTGTTTTTATGGCGTGAGGTTTTGGTCCTGATGGACCGAAGCCTTCTGCCGGAGGGGAGTAGCTGAAACAGAGAGTGTCCAGGGTGGGAGAAATCGGCCATAATCTTCCTCGCTCGCCTCATAGACCTTGTCGTGTGCAGGTCCTCGAGGGTCGGTAGATTGCAGGCAATTACCTTCTCAGCAGTGTGGATGATACGCTGCAGTCTGCTCTTGTCCTTGGCAGTGGCAGCAGCGTACCAGACGGTTATGGAGGAGGTGAGGATGGATTCAATGATCGCTGTATAGAATTGCACCATCATTGTCTTTGGCAGGTTGAATTTCTTCAGCTGCCGTAGAAAGTACATCCTCTGTTGAGCTTTCTTGGTGAGGGAGCTGATGTTCAATTCCCACTTGAGGTCCCGGGAGAGAATAGTGCCCAGGAAGCGGAAGGACTCTACAATTTTTACTGGGGAGTCTAACAGGGTGATGGGGGTGAGTGGTGCTGTATTCTTCCTGAAGTCCACAACCATCTCAACTGTCTTTAGAGCATTTAGCTCTAAGTTGTTCTGGCTACACCAGGTCACCAGATTGTCAGCTTCCCACCTATAGTCAGACTCATCCCCACCAGAGATCAGCCCAATGAGGGTGGTGTCATCCGCAAACTTCAATAGTTTGACGGACAGATGATTGGAGGTGCAGCTGTTGGTATACAGGGAGAAGAGCAGAGGGGAAAGGACGCA